GTCGGTGAAACTCCGACGAAACAGTTTGTCACAGCCCCTCGTTTGTTGTCCTCTTCTCTCTCTCTGCCTACGGTTTTACCGGGCAGTTCTGTTTGTGACGATATATATATACGGTTTACCGGGCAGCTCTGTTTCAGATATATATATGCATATAATATATATATATATATCGTCACAAATAGAACTGCCCGGTAAACCGTAGGCAGAGAGAGAGAAGAGGACAACAAACGAGGGGCTGTGACAAACTGTTTCATCGGAGTTTCACCGACTCATCAGGAGGCTGAACCCTCAACAGTCAGTAGAATCCCCTCACTGATTACACTGTAAGTGATAATCCACCTTAACCAAAATCAAAGTAGACTATCACTCACCCACATATATTGTCACAGAACTATTGACTAAGAGCATAAGCAGTGAAGTAGAAGAAGAAATAAGATGAGCGAAGAAAAGAAAAATGAAAGGACAGACAGGCAAAGAGACAGACAAACCAGAATGACACAAAACAGTGTCCTCTTATTCTTTGTTTCACAGTATTATTATTTCTTTCACACTGAATCAAAAGATAAAAATAAAAAACAAAGACACATTGAAATCATTCAGTTTCTCGGTTTCTTAACGCCTCCTCCACTGTGCCTCTAACGTACAAGGCTCGCCACGTTGATGAAGTTGAGCGCGAGCTGCCCCCATCCCCGTATGCCATAACAGCCCACTTGCACGCTATGGGAAAGAGGCAGAGTGAAGGAAGAGGTGTTAAACACAAGGAAGAGAGGAGCAGAAAAGGAAAACCAATAGGCAGAGGGAGAAAAAATAAAAAYAAAAAATGTTGACACAAACATCTTCTTTCTTTTACTRCATTCTTCTTTCTTTCACAGTTTTGCAGTTTTGGTGAAGAGTCTACCACGTTCGTTTTTCAGCGCACCTGCACTTCCTTCTTCATTTTTCATCCTCATTTTCACCCTTCCGACTTTTCTTTTGAGGGTGTTAGGGTGCAGGGTACAAACAAAGTAAAATGACACAAACTTATGTTCTTCTTTTACTGCATTCTTCACAGTTTTGCAGTTTTAGTGAAGAGTTCCCCACCTTTGCACATTCTTGTACACTCTTTTCAGCGCACATGCACATTTTTGTCAGGGTGCAAGGTACGTCTAAGTAAGACCCTCACGACAGATAGGACAACTGTCATAAGGATGCGGGCGATGGTAGCAGCCCTCCCGCTGATCTACAGGACGAAAACCATTCAGGTAAGCAACTTCGTCACAGCAGGAGCCAGGGCGGCTAGCATTAACCATACATCTGAAGCATGCATGACAGAGGGCATGCCGGTCGCAGGCCATGACGATTGTGGGGCGTTCACCATCACAGTTAAGTGCACATTTGCTATAGCGCCTGCAGGCACAGATGGGACAGACTGCATCTGGATGTAGAGGATGTTCACATTCCGGATACAGGTGGCATCCCTGCCGACAGCGGGCCCGAAAAATTATACGGTTGTAGTGATGTAGACAAAGTCGATGCTTTGCACAACCAAGTGTGACAGACATGGAGGTAGGCACGGAGACAGACACAGAAACGGGCATCGAGACAGGTGTGGAGGCAGGCACAAAGACAGGTGCAGAGGCGGTGAAAAGTACACGTGGTACCCATAGAGTCAGTAATCTGGAAAGAGACAGACACAGAAACAGGCACAGAGACAGGTACGGAGGCAGGCACAGAGATAGGCGTAGAGGCGGGCATGGAAGTACACGAGGTACCCATAGGGTCAATGACCTGGAACAGTTGCAGGTTAGGGTAATTACGCACGAGATCACAGATGGCAGTAATAGTTTGCACCATAGCACCGCCATTCCATAATTCCCAAGAACCAGAGGCAAGGACAAGAGCAGTGTAGTGGCAAGGAGCATGTAGAATATAGGCACAACCTTGCGAACAACGGTCCGGGTCGCTACCCGAAGGGGCACGCTGCATATCAAGTCGGCACCTTATCAAAGCAGTCTCCAAAACAGAGACATTGAATCCCCCATGTCGAGTGTAATTACTATCCTGTGGGGGATGCAGAGTCGGGTTATCACCATATAACTCACGTTCCTGAGCATCAAGATCGGAAGCAATGGCCAAAAAATCAGAGTGAGTATATGGTTCCCAACGATAGGCTTGTAGGCATATGTTAGAAGCAGCGAGGCCACACAGATTTGGTGGAGGCCGGTCAGGCGGATTTTCTATAGAATCTCCTACAGTCCCCTTCCCAAGTTAATCCTCGGATGGTCCCTCGCCATCATCCCTCCTGTTTTGTGTTTGTCGCGTTGCAGAAAGGTCTACAGTCCAAGAGTGTTGCAGGCGTGGTAAGGATGCTTGGGGCAGCAAAAGACGGGGACGGGATGTTGGAGAGGGTCGTGGTGGGGAGAATGAACGGGTTCTGCTTCGTCCAAGAACAGAGATGGAGGAAAGGGGAGTAAGCTGAGGTTGGGAAGTAGGTCGAAGTTGGCGTCTAGGACAACGAAGTAGGCTTTCTGCAGGGGCAAAACATGATGATGGAGTCTGTGTGGACGAAGTGGTTTGTGGATTAGGAAGAGGGGTAACGGATGGAGACAAAACCAGGGGAGGTAGAAGTGGTGAAGGCAGGGGTGGTAAAGTAGTCGGAATGTGGGTAACAGACAACGATAAAACCAGGGGAAATAAAGGCGGTGAAGACGGGGGGGATGAAGTCAGGGGTGGTGAAGTGGTTGAAGCAGAGATAGGGGGGGCAGTCGTAGGTGAGACCCGAAGAGGGGACTCTGCAGGTGGTAATGCAGGCATGGCCACGAATGCCATGGAGGAACGCACCGAGACCACGGGCGACACAGCAGTTGCGGTGGTCACGGATGCCATGGAGGAACACACCGAGACCAAGGGTGACACAACAGCTGCGGTGGCACCGGATGCCGTGGAAGAACACACCAAGACCAAGGGCAACACAACAGCTGCGGTGGCCACGGATGCCATGGAGGAACACACTGAGACCAAGGGCAACACAACAGTTGCGAGTCGAGTCTCTCTCGCGGAATCAATCGTAGAAGCAACCAAGGCCGATGAAGAAGAGGCTGCGAACCGAAAAGGGGCAGCCAGGGTCACAAACGGCATGGAAGGGGTTACTAAGACTGATGAGGGTGCAGGTGCGGCAGACGCAGGTAATGAAAAAGAGGCAGTGATAGGTGTGACAGGCGCCGATAATGAAGAAGGGGCTGCAACAGGCACAGTCCGAGGACAGTGTGTGGATACCAAAGAAAGCAGGTGATGAATAGACCATCGAAGCATGTTGCGGAACCAGTTGGAGAGGCGGGTCACGTGCGCAGGGCAGATGTGTTGACGTTTACGAATATAGGAAGTCCATCCTTTCGCAAGCGTTGTTGGAGAGTGCCCGCGAAAAAGCATGCGGCGTGTGAGCATCGCTGCTGCAGTTTTGAAATCATACCAGTTGTTGCAAACATACTCAAACCTAGAAAGCTCGCCTGTAAACACTCCTGTCGGCTGGTGTGCAAGGACGTTAGAAGTAGCACTAGGATAACGAATAACAGGGAAATTCGATTCAGCTGAAAGACACGCATACGCAGGGAACCGTCAGGGCCGACTTGGAGGCGTGCACCCAAGAATGTGCAAGAGCCATCAGGCGTTGTGGTCTCCTTCCATTCGAGGCCATAGTGCTCTGACGGTGGTGGCAGATGTCCCCATGAGAGCACATCATCGATCAAGCGGTATGTGAACGCATACCGTTGAGCTGCACGAAGATCACGCCGTTGGAGGTCATCAACAAATCGAGCCTCATCCCAATACAACATCAAATTAGCTATCACCGGACCAGAATTAGTCCCCATCGGGATGCCAATCAGCTGATGTCGCAAGGTGTCGTCCATTGCATAACGATACATGTTTGTGACAATGAAATGGAGATGTTCAAGAATTTGGGAAACGGTCAAGGTGTTTGGTCCGGTATCAGCCGTCCGCTCCCCTTGACGGGGCCCTTTAACAATCATGTTAAGGGTAGGAGGATGTGTGCGCCCCTGTGTGTGCTGTTGTAAGGCATATGTATAGGCTTCCTCGACCGCTTTTGAAACATTATGACGAATACGGTCATGAGGAAGATTGGTATACATAGTTGTGAAATCAACAGTGCGAGGAGCATGGTCACGAAGAGAAGAGGAATTACGTTTGAGATCAAGCATCACCACCTCAGCGCTTTGCACGATCCAGCACCGCCTCACACCGCTTTGCTGATACAACACAGTATCCGTCTCACAGAGAGTTTCCACGACGACTCGTAGTGCAACACTGAGGCAGGCAGAAGCGAAGGTAGTACTGGCCAAGGGTTTGTGGGGAGGTCGATGGTGGACTGCATGAACAGATGGCGCAGTTCATCGAGATCGCTGTAGCAGGGAGAGATTATTCCGCTCTGTGACGCCGACAATACTGCGAAGCCCAGGGGGTGATTTGTGCGCTTCAAGTGCATAGTACAGATATGGCAGCGTGCCTTTGTGTGTATATCCCCACCGATGATTCCAGAGCGCGTGATATTCTACAATATCTGTGACAGACTCAAGAGACACATCATAGGTAGGGCTGTCCAAATGAGCAGATAGATGAGACAGGTACCAATTTTTACAACAGATTGCCAAGTTATGTGAGGTCTTATGGACTGAAACAATAGCGAAGTGTTGTTGAAGGTGTCTCAAAGCCCTGTGCACCGAGTGAAGGGAGTGTGGTTGTCGTGTGGTAGCATGGGGGGATGAGATGTTGCTTTGGCAACGTGTGAGAACGGCTGAGCGCCACTGCTGCAATTTGTTCAGAGCGGCCGGCCGAAGCTGCTCGGAGACCGACCTCAGGTATTTAGCAATATACTCGTCAAGGCCGACTCTAACAGCCTGAAGCACATTAGCGATTTGTCCATTAAGACGATACTTCGAGCCTTCATGGAACAAGTCGCGGAGGCGATCATCAGGAACGATGTTGCAGTCGGCCGTAACAACATGGCCGTCGACTAAGTGTGCACAGTCAGGAAACACTTTCCGACATTGACAGTCTGAGGGGTCAGGCAAGGAGATCCCACGTGTGATATATTGTCACAAAACTATTGACTAAGAGCGTAAGCATGGGAAGTAGAAGAAGAAATAAGACGAGTGAAGAAAAGAAAAGTGAAAGGATAGACAGGCAAAGAGACAGACAAACCAGAATGACACAGCTAAATTCCAATTTGTTGAAACAATACGATGGCTTCCTTACTCAAATATCAATTTTTATATAGGTCTAGATGGGATTTCTTTATTCTTTGTGGTGTTGACTACGTTCTTAATACCTATTTGCATGTTAGTAGGTTGGTCTAGTATTCAAAATTACAAGAAAGAGTACATGATAGCTAACAGTGTCCTCTTATTCTTTGTTTCACTGTATTCTTATTTCTTTCAGTGTTTTACAGAAAAAAAATTACACTGGACAAGGGATAAAAATAAAAAACAAAGACACACTGAAATCATTCAGTTTTTCACTCTTCTTAACGACGCCTCCACCATGCCTCTAGCGTACAAAGCTCGCCACATTGATAAAGTTGAGCGCGAGCTGCCCCCATCCCCGTATGCCATATATGAAAATGAGAATGAAAAATGAAGAAGTGCAGCTGCGCTGAAAAGCAAACGTGGTAGACTCTTCACCAAAACTGCAAAATTGTGAAAGAAAGAAGAATGCAGTAAAAGAAAGAAGATATTTGTGTCAACTTTTTTTATTTTTTCTCCCTCTGCCTATCAGTTTTCCTTTTCTGCTCCTCTCTTCCTTGTGTTTAACACCTCTTCCTTCTCTGCCTCTTTCCCATAGCGTGCAAGTGGGCTGTTATGGCATACGGGGACGGGGGCAGCTCGTGCTCAACTTCATCAACGTGGCGAGCCTTGTACGTTAGAGGCACGGTGGAGGAGGCGTTAAGAAGACTGAGAAACTGAATGATTTCAATGTGTCTTTGTTTTTTATTTTTGTCCCTTGTTCAGTGGAATTTTTTTTTGTAAAACACTGAAAGCAATAAGAATACAGTGAAACAAAGAATAAGAGGACACTCTCTTGTGTCATTCTGGTTTGTCTGTCTCTTTGCCTGTCTGTCCTTTCATTTTTCTTTTCTTCGCTCATCTTATTTCTTCTTCTTCTTCACGTGCTTACGCTCTTAGTTAATAGTTCTGTGACAATATATATAGTCAAACAGAGCTGCCCGGTAAACCGTAGTCAGAGAGGGAGAAGAGGACAACAAACTGTTCCGTTTTTTTTTTGGTTTTTTTGTTTTTTTTTGTTTTTTTTTTGGGTCCATAACCCCCAATAACCCACCAACGCCCCATACCCGCCCCCAATACCCCCATAAACCCCCCCAACACCCTCATTCCCCCCC